TGGGGGTAGTTCTCTAACAATGTTTCAATCAGATAGCAACTTAAATTAGTAAATGGGTCAGGCAATGTGTAATGGCAAATGCACTGAGCTGTAGAGGCTCAGATGGGTAGAGAATTTACTAGCTAAATGACCTAGAGCAAGTCCTCTCCCCGCCATTTTTTTTTCTTTGAGACAGGTTCTCACTCTATTGCCCAGGCTGGAGTGCAGTGGCCTGATCAACCACCTCCCCAGGCTCCCTGGACTCAGGTTATCCTCCCACCTCAACCTCCTAAGTAGCTGGGACTACCGGTGTATGCCAGCTAATTTTTTTGTAGTTTTTTGTAGATGGGGGTGTAGCTATATTATTGCCCAGTCTGTTGTTGAACTCCTGGGCTCAAGTGATCCGCCTACCTCAGCCTCCCAAAGTGCTAGAATTACAGGCGGGAACTACCACATCTGGCCTGGAACAAGTCTGTTAGCTGCTCTGGATTTAGTTTCTTCATGTATGAAATGAGAGTGATGGTGATCATAATGCCTAATGTCCACCTGTGAGGGCAGTGAGGATTAAACAAGATAATAGAAGCGCAAAGGATATGAAATTGAGGTTCTTGGGGAAATATATTAATTTATTTATTTGTTTTGCTCTATAGTGAAGAGAAGGAGAGAGGTAGAAGAGATGGAAGAGATGGTTCTTATGGCTTTGAAGGATAGAATGGGTTTGGAGGGGTAGAGGAGAGGGTAGAAACACATGAGCAAAAAGGCTCTGAGGTTAGACTGGAAACCTGACTTAGGGTTTCCCTGGCTTCCAGTTGGTGTTTGCTTGCAGCCCTACCTTGCTATTTTTTTTTTTTTTTTTTTTTTTTTAGACAGTCTGACTCCATTGTCCAGGCTGGAGTGGCATGCTCTTGGCTCACTGCAACATCCACTTACTGGATTCAAGTGATTATCCTGCCTCAGACTCCCAAGTAGCTGGGACTATAGGTGCACACCACCCACACCCAGCTAATTTTTGTATTTTTAGTGGAGACAGGGTTTCATCATGTTGGTCAGTCTGGTCTCAAACTCCTGACCTCAAGTGATCCGCCCTCCTCTGCCTCCCAAAGAGCTGAGATTACAGGCGTGAGCCACCACACCCAGCCTATTCTTACTCTTTTGTTTGATCACCTGGGCCCTTTTCCTGTCATCAAACTAGTATTTATTAAACTCTGCCTGAGTACTCAGGCTTTTGTATCAAGACGAGGTATACACCATCCCATTCAGGAATTTCCCTGAAGATTTGGTAAAGCAAGCCAGGGAATAACAACGTCTTGAAAACACTGCTCAGGGAGGGGCTACTTCTCTGCAGTCCCAAAGCTCACTAGGTGGCGCCCACACTCACAGTTTCTCTGTTTGTCTGTCCCTGCCCCAGCTGGAAGCCTGTGGCAGAATACATTGATCAGCAGTTTGAGCAGTATTTCCGAGATGAGAGTGGCCTGAACCGAAAGAACATCCAAGACAACAGGGTGCACTGCTGCCTGTACTTCATCTCACCCTTCGGCCACAGGTATGGTCCAAGCCTGAGGCTCCTGGCACCACCGGGTGCTGTCAAGGGAACAGGCCAAGAGCCCAGGGGCAGGGCTGCCACTAGCAGGTGGAAGAAGAAGCAATGTATTCTTCCCAGAGTGAAGCAGAGAAGATGATGATACAGGTGGAAAGAAACAGCTTAGAACAGAGGGTGTTGACAGGTACCCCTAACCTCTTCCAGGAAAGCATCCCATTTGCAGTCACTGGCAGCAACACTGTAGTAGAGGCCAGAGGGCAGCGAGTTCGGGGTCGACTCTACCCCTGGGGCATCGTGGAAGGTAAAGCACTGAGCCTGTGACCAGGGTATCTCCTTGCCCCTCAGTGGCTCTCCCCTACCTATGCCTCTGGCTGACCCCTAGCCTTGCTATGCAGTGGAAAACCCAGGGCACTGTGACTTTGTGAAGCTGAGGACAATGCTGGTGCATACCCACATGCAGGACCTGAAGGATGTGACGCGGGAGACACATTATGAGAACTACCGGACACAGTACATCCAGAGCATGACCCGCCTGGTGGTGAAGGAACAGAATCGCCAAGTATGACCAGAAGCCAGGACAAGGTGGCAGGGGGGATCCCAAGCCTAGCCTTGGGTAAGACTAAACCTTTCTTTTTTTTTTTCCTTTTATTGCATTTTAGGTTTTGGGGTACATGTGCAGAACATGCAGGATAGTTGCATAGATACACACATGGCAGTGTGTTTTGCTGCTGTCTTCCCCTTCACCCACTTTTGGCATTTCTCCCCAGGCTATCCCTTCCCCCCCACCACGCTGTCCCTCCCCTATTCCCCCCAGTAGACTCCAGTTTGTAGTACTCCTTTCCCCGTGTCCATGTGTTCTCATTTTTCAACACCCACCTATGAGCAAGAATATGCGGTATTTCATTTTCTGTTCTTGTGTCAGTTTGCTGAGAATGATGTTCTCCAAATTCATCCATGTCCCTACAAAGGACACAAACTCATCCTTTTTTATTGCTGCATAATATTCCATGGTGTATATGTGCCACATTTTCCCAGTCCAGCAAACCCTTCTTTTGTTCTTCTATAGGCCCAATCTAAGTGGGTACTGGGGTCCTCCTAGCCTTACCAACCCTTCTCTCCTCTTAGCAAACTGACTCGAGAGAGTGGTACCGACTTCCCCATCCCTGCTGTCCCACTAGGGACAGATCCAGAAACTGAGAAGCTTATCTGAGAGAAAGACGAGGAAGTGAGAGCAGTATGGGATACAGGGGAGGTCCCCTGTTTGATCATAAACATTGGTATCTCTTGGTTTGGTAATAGAAAGATCCCTGGCTCTGTTGCCTATTTGGGTCCTGGAAAGGTCAATAGGTGGTTCTGTCCAGGGTCTCCATCATACCTCAGGGCTACCAAGGTCCTGGCTTAGAAATTTGGGGCACTTCCCCAATACTAAAGGACTCTCCAAAAAGGCCCATTTTGATGCCTATGCCTATTCCAGCTGTGGCGGATGCAGGAGATACTACACAAAATACAAAAACAGATGAAGGAGACCCATTAACTGGATTTCAGCCCTGGATATTTAAATCTCTTCCTCTTCCTGTCCGTGTCGGCCCCTCCCAACACCAGCTCTGCTCAGACCCCTTCAGCTATTGCCACTTCGCCTTACATCCTGCTGACTGCCCAGAGACTCAGAGGAAATAAAGTTTAATAAATCTGTAGGTGGCTTCTGGTGTCCCTGTGTGTAACTTTATGACCTCCTGGAGACCAAGATCCTGGGACCCAGTTTTGAAAGGCTAATCGTAGATGTTGGTTTCTGGCTTTTAGTAGGGAAGGGAGAGTGGGGAAAACTTTCCACTTTGCTTCCCCTTCTTAGTCCCTGCTTAGAATCCAATCTGGCTTCTCCATCTTAATGACCACATCTATCCTGCCTTTATTATCTGGGGTTTGGGTCTCTCTCCATCTTTCCCACATACATACCTTTAATTCTGCAGCAGTTTTGGATTTCATACCTGCCCTTGGGAAAACGCAAGGTATTAACGGTGTGCAACTTCCTGACTTTCTGTTTCTCCTGATCTGGGAAAAGGAATAGGCAGGTTAAGCTCTACACTGTAAAAAACCCGTGAAAGAGCTTTAAACAAATGCAGCCACTGTAATCACCAAACACTATAGTAAGTGCTAGGAATGAATAAAAACACAATCATTGCCCTACAGGAGTTCAGTATTTAATTAAAAATTTTACAGCATCTGCTAGACTGCAGACTGTTCTGGACCCTGGAGTTAAAGTAGTGCAGAGTTCTCGTCTTCCTGGAACTTACCAACTGTACTGAAGTTTCAGTGTTCTATAAACAAAGAGAGGTGAGGACCCATTGGCCCCGGGGCTTGGTATTAAAGCGCTCAGGCCCACTCCAGACCTGAGAATATTAGCTGAGAATCTGAATCAACTGGTTTCCAATTCTGTCGGTTGGTGGTATCGCGTGTCCATGGCGACCTCCAGCGGCCACCCTCCGTCTTGTGGTCTGTTCTGGGTCCCCGGGAAAGAAAGAAAGGGAGGGGTGGTAAGTCAGGTCCTTGGGAGCGTCCTGGTCTCCCTTCCCTTTACAGACTAGGAGGCCGCAGCTAGTTACTGGCAGTCTCAGATCCAGATTTTCCATCTCTCGGATGAGAGTTCTTCACTCATGACTAGCAGCACAACGCAGGTTGTGAAGAACGGCAGGGTCGTTTATCGACACACAGTGAGTGTTGTAGGAACCCAACCAGACACAGGAAGGGGGAAATCCCAGCCAGTCGGAGATGACCAAGACAGAACCTCAGGCCTAGCCCTCCCTTGTCTCCTAGCCTGCAGGTTTTCTCCTATTCTGGCATTGGGACTGGATGACAGCAGCGAAACCAAAACGGGAATGGATAAACTGAGGTGCCACTGGGGATCTGTTTGAGAAGGACCTCCAGGGCGGGTCCATCACCGGAAGTGGCTTAAGGCTTGTACCCTACAATGCCCGCCTCTAATTGCGCTACCAGTAGGCGACTAGCCGCCCCCACTTCCGGTCCCCAGAGCTGTAGCCGGCAGCCCCCTCTTTGCTGCTCTCCTATTGGCTACCGCAAGGACGCGCTGTGATTTCCCATTGGTCGCGTCTCCTCTCCGGCGCCGCGTCTCCTCCCTCCAGGTATAGTCTTGTCTTCCGGCATCCGATTGGCTAAAGGCTGGGAGGGCGTCTGCCCGTCTCGACCAATGAGTGGCCTCGAGAGTGTGGCCGGCGGCTGCGTGACGGGGGCAGGGCGGGACTTGGCGTGGCTATTGGCCAGGGCGGGCACAGGCTAGAGATATAATTGGTTGAGGAGAAGAGCACCGTGGGGGTTCGGGACGGCGCGGCCTCTGCAGCTGCGGGAGACGGAAGTGGCTAGAGCGCGGCCTCGGAGTGTCGGGCGGACGCCGCCTGGGTGAGTCACCGTGCCCCTTGCACTGCGAGCCTGGGAACTGCAGCGACGACGTCTTGCCCGGCTCCGCCCTGGCCCCCACAGGCTTCCCTGAGTCCCGCCTTCTGTCATTTGGGGCTCCGCCTCCGAGTCTTTAAGCTCCGCCCCTAGAACCTGGGCACCTGGGCTCCCTTGCCAACCTGGCCCGCCCCCCGGGACCAGATCTCCTAGGCCTGAAAACCCTGGGCCTCTCAGGCCTGATCCTTGTCCTTCCTACCCTCCCTTCGTTCCCTGGGGCTGCGTGTCAGTGGGCGGTGAGGCAGCACCTCTGGCTTGCCTCTTGCGGGTTGCCCCATGAGGGAAAGTGGTCTAGGGAAGAGGGTACTGTGAACAGGGAGGTGGGCAGGACCACAGATGGAGGCTTTTATCCCCGCAGTCTCCGATAGGGCTCTGCTGTACTGCACCTGAGGATAGCAGGCATGAAGGAAAGTGTCAGTGAAATGTCGGCCTGGCTTCATAAGTAAGCCTAGGAGGCCCCATCCTGAAATCCCTGTTACTTGGGCTCATTGGACAGATGCTGACTCCAAGGCCTGAATTGGCCTGATTCTATTCCTGTTGTGTGGGCTCCTCTCCATAACCTCCACCCAACTTGGTGTCAAGTACACTCAGCAGGACCTGTGCCTGTGCAGCCCTGCTGCCCTCTGATCACAGGTTGTGGTCTCCCCCTACCCGGCGCTTGTCCCATTTTGGACTCTGCCCCCAGTAAACAGGTCAGGTAGGTACTACTCCGAGACTCAGAGACTGGCAAGACATTCCTGTGGATTCATGTCTCTTCAGCCACTGCCACTTTGCCCAAAGATTCAGGGCCCAAAATAAGCCCCAGTTGGGCAGCCTTTGTCTCTTCACAGTTGGCACTTCTGCTGTCCCACAAAGAAGTGTTCTCCCTCTGCATCTGGGAACCAGGACTCCTGAGTTCTGGTGAATAATCTTGGATGACACTCATCCCTGCTCCAGAACCTCGTGGCTGACTTTATGCCCTGCAGAATCACTTGTTGCTTTCTCCCTTTGTAGCTCCCGTTGCCTCTCTCTGGTATGGTGACTTGTGGAGAGACTAGGGTCTCTGCAAGGGAGAAGAATATGGTGTAGAGAAGGTCAGAGGTAGATGGGTAGCATTTGTTGATTCCATGGTAGTGTTGATGGGGCTCTTTACTTTTATGTTCCTCTGTCTTCTTACAGTGAGAAGCAGGCAGCCAGGACCCTTGCCATGGTGGAATGGTGAGTACTCTTTCTTTCCTCAGGCCATTGTGTTTTCTGTAATCCCTGTGTCTTTCTCTGTGAAGCTGCCCCACCTCTCCTAGACCTTGAGCTCCAGGCTACCCTGTTCAGCTCCTAAACAGGTTCATCTGCCCTGGAGATAAATTAGGGTTTCTTCAGATTGCAAAACATTAGCCAGTATTCAGCACTGGGACTGGAAGCTTCTAGAAATGTTTTTCTGCATGTTCTATGCCTCACACTTTCCTGACACTACCTGCCCACACTGGCTCTATTAACTCTTCATAACAGCCCTCCTCTTTTTTTCTTGCGTCCCCGGCAGGATCTCTGTGTTCTTGTCTGAAAAGCCAGGCCTTCTTTATCTCAGGATCCTTGGACTTCTGGTGGATCCTTTGAATATTGTCGATGCTATATCAGGAGTGACTCCACCAAAACTGTGGGGCTTCTCCAGCTCCAGGGTGCTGCTGTTAAGCCACTACAGGTGACAGCTGACTGAATATCTATCAGGATAGCATCTTCAGGGTGCCCAGAATATCACTAGAGGTAGTTTACAATGATCCTGTGAATTTTCCATTAATTGTAACTGCCCTTCTCTCACCCCTAGTCCAGGGAACGCCGTAGTTCCTGAGAGCTAGGAGGAGGCAGTGAGATGGGAAAGGCCTAGAGAGCTATAGGCCCTGGCTCAGACCAGGCCCTTAACCTGGTGTTATCTTCAGTTTCTTTTGGGTGTCCTTTGTGCTTAGTGGCAGGTTAAAGAATTCAGTAGATGAGAGGATTTCCTCCTTCCCTCCCTCCCTTCCATAGAGATGTGGATTTGGTGTGTGCATTATTGGTTCGGTCTCTTCTCAGAAAGCCTGCTGGTTTGGGCTCCCACCAACAGATTGCCCTTTTCTCTTCTGGGATAGTGTGAAAAGAGCATTGGCCCCAGAGTCAGCTTCATCTGATTTCAAATCCTAGCATACCACTTAGGTAAACCGAATACTTTCTCTCGAAGTTTAAGTCTCGCCAGTAAGACAAGATAAGGTTTCCTTCTTGAGGGCTTGAAAAGTTTTAGTGAGGTAGTTAGAAACTGCCTGGCTCATTGTAGATGCTTAATAAAATGTCAGGTTTTCTTTTATTCCTCCCTTCTCCCCCAGACAAGACAAAAGCCCTGGTGTCTGAAAGTTACCAGGTGCAGGAAGTTTGGAGTTCCAGCGAGCTCCCTCTGTGACTCTTGGTGATATTTTGAGCCCCTTCTTCCTGCTCCTTATTCCTTGGCCCTCTACCCAACTCTCTCTACTCCCCTCCTCCTGAGTTTCAAGTTTCATTTTTGTATAACTTCTGTGGTCCATACTTCCAGCTCTTCTCTTTCCCAGACTAAGAAATCCTTTCTCCTTGAAGAAGGACTTTCTTACCCAGAGATCAGAATGTGAAACAAGGGAGAGATGGAGCTGAAGGAGTTGGGTTTGGTAGGGGTATTGGAATAAAAGCTCATTTCCCTTTCCAGGAGCGTGGAATGACTAACCTGGCACCATCCTAAGGGGAAAGAAGGGTTTAGCCAAGTCACAGGATTGAAAGACCCTGATGGGCAGGGGCATGGTGGGTAGTGGTTTTGGAGTGAAAGGAGGAAGCATATGGGTTGTGGGTAGGTGAGCTCCACCTTGGGATCCAGAGCAGGTGTCGGGGGAACTTAAGAGAGGAGGGGAGGGCATGGGGATGGGTTTCTAAGAGGGAATAGGGTGGCCCACCTGGAAAAAAGGTAAATGAGAAGAAAATGTAGGCGGTCTTGTTTTCTGCTCCAGGCCGTCTGTCTGGGCGGTCCCATAGCCCAGATTCCTGAAAGCCCCTAAAGGTCCATGGAGTGGGGTACGCCCTCGGACAAGGCCCAGGGTCCCGGGGAGGGAGGAGCCTGGGGCTGTGGGTGGGGCTCGCGGACCCCCACCCCGCCCGCTTCCCCGCCTCCGCCTTCCCGCTGCGTCCCGGGCTTTCCCCTCGCCCAGCTCCCCTCCCTTCCGCGCTCGTGCTGGAGGGCGGAGCTGGGCCCACTCCATTGTGAAAAGCGTGCGGGAGCCGTGCTGAGGGCCCGCCACCAGCGCCCTCACCTCCTGGCCGCCGCAGCTACACCTGGCTGTCCCGGCAGCCGGGATGCGGCGGGCGCCCGGGGCTGGCGGGCAGCGCAGCGGCTCCAGGGGCATGTGCGCTGGCCCAGACCGCCCGTGACTAGGAGCCTGACTGCCCGCGTCTCCTGCTCCATGCTTAGCTGCTCGTAAGTGCTCACCCTGCCTTTGGGTGCCTAGGAGACCGACGCTTGCTTGTGCCCACAGCCTACCCCAGGGTCAGCCCTCGATTTCAGCCCATCCGCCTTCCCATGGCCTCTGGCCCGACCCCGAACGTTTAGGGGCAGGGAAGGTGGGTTAATTCTTATTTCTTGGACTTGCTTCAATCTTTGGGTGCCGGGGATGGTCGAAGGCCAGGAATGGAAATTCTGTGGTCCATCCCGGCCCCACGGCCACTGCCCTTGACTGCAGATCTCCAGGCCCCGCCCTGTGGGGGTACATCCCTTTACCTTCGCCTCTCCATCTTGGTCCCACCCACTGTATCCTTGCTTGGGAATGTGGGATGTGGCCAGTAGGCTGCAAGGGATGTTAGGGGGGCTGGTCAGGGAGCGCGAGATGTTCTGTTCGTTGGCTTGGGGCTCCAGTCCCTTCTCTCTTCCACCACCTCTCTTCTCCATCTTCCCTGCCTCTGCACGGTTCCTTACCTCTGCATCATTCCCGGTCCTACCCTCCCGCGCTGGCTGATGCTCCTTCCCAGCTTCCCCCATCTGTCCTCTCAGCTGTCCCCGCCTTCCCCGTGGTGTCTGCCAGGCCTCCTCTCTCTTTCTCTCCCCTGGCTGTCCTTGGGTCTCCTGGCTCCTCCCAGGCCCGTGGATCCCCTCGGGTCCCCTCCCTGGTGGTTGGGCGGGGAGTTCCTTCTTCTTGCCGTGGGTATTCCTCAGGAATTCCCCCCTGATTAGCAGGCGGAGTAGGTTACTTGGCAGGTAATGGGGGCTTGTCAGCAGTGTGGGCCTAACAAGAAGATAAGCCCAGCTTCTAAACACATCTTCCTTTTGAAAGCATCAGTGAAGGCCCTCTAGAGGCATGGGACTGAATCCCCCCACCCACTCCTCTTTGTCTTCCTCACCCACCAGGTTGAAGCTTCAGTGGCTACAGGGCCCTAATTTCCCTCCTCTCTGTAACCAGCTGCCACACCTGGCTCCTTTTCCTCAGGACAGCACTTTCCCATCCCCATTCCTGCCTTACCCTTACATGGGTCTAAGGAAAAGAGTCTCTCTTTTTCTTAGTTTTCTCTCCTCCATTTTTGAAATGTTGGTTGTATAGGAGAGTCCTTTGAAGAGTGCAGGTTCCCAATTCCTCCTGGGGCCTCACTCTTTCCTTAGGCTTAATAAGCTTGAGTACTCTCTCCATTTCGCGCTTACCTGTCTCCAACCAAGGCAGGTCTCTTTTCCCTCCTCTGGTGACCAGAACCTTTAGAGGTGCGTGTGTGGTTGTCTGTGGATTTCTTGGTGGGGGAGAGGAGCAGAATGAACCTCATGGGCTAAGCAGAGCTTGGTGACTTAGAACTGTGGCCTTCCTACAGGGTGAGGAGGGGCCCCCCAGCCTGGAGTACATCCAAGCCAAGGATCTGTTCCCCCCCAAGGAACTAGTGAAGGAGGAGGAGAATCTTCAGGTAAGGAGGAGTTGGGGGCCAGGATAGATGGGGCTTCCTGTCCAGTTAAAAAAAATCCTCCCTTCCCCCAAATATCTTCAAGGGGATCTGGTACTGGAGCTTTGGCTTCCTGCTCTGTGGTCTCAGGAGGAGGAGGGTTTGTCTGTATATCCTGGAGCTGTTGGCCCCAGGGAAGGAAAGGCAGCTTTCCTCTTCAGCTGTTGCCTGGTGCTCTCACCGTGGAGAGTACTCTCCTCTCCTGCCTTGGTCCACCATTTCCAGAGCTTTTCTAGAGGCGATTCCACAGAGCAGAGGCTGTAGAGGAGGATGAGGCGGTCACTCACTTCTGGACTGAGGGTTTCTCTGCCCCTTGACTGGTCCCCTTCACAGTGCTGCAGGGCGAGTGAGTAGAGTTCCTGGGCCAGGCAGCCGATGCCCTCATTGCCATCTGTAACTACCGGCTGCATATCAAATTCAAGGACTCTGTCATCAACGTGAGTTTCTGTATTGTTCTCCTACCTCTAAGCTAAAATCCCTGTGAAGTTCAAGGTGGGATTATTCCAAAGCTCTCCTTGATCATGTCTTTTAAAAAGTTGGAGGCTGGGCGTGGTGGCTCATGCCTGTAATCCCAGCACTTTGGGAGGCCAAGGCAGGCGGATCACTTGAGGTCAGGAGTTCAAGACCAGCCTGGCCAACATAGTAAAACTCTGTTTCTACTAAAAATACGAAAATTAGCTGGGCTTGGTGATGCGCACCTGTAGTTCTAAATACTTGGGAGACCAAGGTACAGAAATTACTTGAACCCAGGAGTCAGACGTTGCAGTGAGCCGAGATTATGCCACTGCACTCCAGCCTGGGTGACAGAGTGAGATGACGCCTCAAAAAATAAAAAGTATATAAAAAGTTGGGGTTCCCTTCTCTTTCTCCCTGACCTCATGTTTTCCGGCCTTATTTTCCTAGCTATAGCTTTGTTTCTGGCTCATTCTCTTTTCTCCTGTCTTTCCATTATTGTCTCACTGGCCCTTCTAAGGAGCATGGTGGCATTGTTGGAAGAGCACAGGCTTTGGAGTCAGCCAAACCTGGGCTCTTTTCCTGCATTGCCACTCACCAGCTGGGTGACTGTGATTTTCCTCCTTCAGCCTCCCCAGTAGCTGGGACTGGAGGCCCGTGCCATCATGCCCAGCTAATTTTTGTATTATCAGTAGAGGTGGGGTTTCATCATGTTAGCCAGGATGGTCTTGATCTCTTGACTTTGTGATCATCCCATCTCGGTTTCCTACAGTGCTGGGATTACAGGCGTGAGCTACCGCGCCTGG